TCTTTCGTCATCACTTAGGGCACAGTAGTAACCCATCACGTTCTTTCTTTACCTCTGCCCTGCTCCCTCTCAGTGGGTAATCAATTAAAGACATTGTGGAAGAAAACAATGAACTCAATTGTTATAAGAAAACTTGCCAAGGTGCACTTTGGATGTAAACTTGCTATAAGAGGCAGGGACTGATGAGATAGAAAGAATTCCAGTTTTGCATGACATTGATCAAGTCACTTCTGTTCTTAGGAATTTCCTCACGTGCAAAAAGGCAGCATTAGAACAGACTGCAGAAACTCAGAGTTGGAAGGGACCCGGGAAGTCATTGAGCCCAACTCACACATGAGAAGTCCTGATTCAACACACTCAGATCCCGGTGTGGGGTCCAGACTTTCCTTGAATACCTCCACTAAGGGGACCCACCACCTCCCAAGGCAACCAGTTCCTTCTTGGATCTCTCTAACTGACGGCAGCTTTTCCTTACATTAAGCCTCAGTCTTTCACTTTACAATTTCTGTCCATTATGCCCGGTTCTGCCAAGTATATGAAATAAAACCCAATAGAAATCTAGATGGCTTATTGGACAGGTCAACGGACCTGAGTTCAAATGTGTCCTCAGATGTTAACTATCTATGTGACTCTGGGCCAGTCACTTAATCTCTTTGTGCCTCAGTTTTCTCGTGAGTAAAATGGTAATGATCATAGCCCCTCCTTCCCAGGTTTGTTGTAAAGATGAAATGAGATAATATTTTAAAGTGCCGTGCAAACCTTGAAGTGCTATATAAATGCTCACTATTAGGATTAAGACCTGATGGTCTAAATAGGAGCAATTTCTAACCTTGACATGCAATTATGTTTTACAAATCCCTCTTCCTGATGAAACCTTTCAAGTACTTGGAGAAAGTTCCATGTTTTCTTTCTTTCTTTTTTTTTTAATAACTTTTTATTTTCCCCAGTTACCTGCAAAAACTATTTTTAACATTTGTTTTTTTAAAAGTTTGAGTTCCAAATTCTCTCCCTCCCCTCCTCTCATCCCCATCCCACTCCTTTTTCTAAAGTTTCTTTCAGTTAAAAAATCCAGGAGAGCCTCGGAGCTCCTGTGAACTGTGTTTTGCTACATTAACTATTTGCTTGGCCCCTATGGCACGTTCTGAGACAATAGACGGGTGTAATCAACATGCCTCAGGGAAAACCCTCAAGGTCTGAGCATCATGGATGTGTTGAACACCAGAGGCTGACTATCTCCCATCCAAGGGCTGGTTCACATAGCCCTTGTGTTAGCAGCTGGAGGAGCAGGGACTGAGTCTGTTTAACTTGCTTTTATAAAATACCCAGCATGGCCTGTGCCCAGGGGACTGATGACAGATCAGAACTGGAGACAACCATCTCGTCCTTCAGCAGGAGTTCTGGGCAACAAATGCCTTGGGTTCTAAGAAATAGTTTTCAGTCACAAGCCATTGAGGGCAGAGAAGGCAATCCCAGCAGCGTTTAGGAGGGAGTTCTCAGTAGCATGCATCAGAGAATAGCAAAGTGAGGTAGCTGTACTCCCCTGCCCCTCTTTCTTGGTCCCTCTCCTGTAAAAAAGTATTTGACTTTATAGCTCAGAGAAGAGATTTCAGGCCAGTGAAACACGCTTGATCATAGCAAGTTGGGAAGAAGCAAAACACTGTTACTTGTTTAGGGGAGCAGCTGGTTCTCTATCTTGTGGGAATTGAACTTTTTTAAGATTATAATTCATTGTCAACATCTATCTTCAAAGTTGCTTGTTCATGATGTGTGGGAAGAAGAGTGAAGTCCAGCTCGTTAGGTGGGCTCTTCAGATTGCCACTCTTGAAATAATATTCATGTTTTAGAAAGACCAGCCACTGTTTGTTACGAGGGTTTTGTTTGGAAAATATATTCAGTTGGAGAGAACAGTGGGAGGGAGAGATAATAAATGCTTGTAAAAATAGAATCAATTAGTTGGAAAAAAATGCTCTTCTCTGTCCTTCCAGTAAGATGTGCTTACAGAAGTGGAGCCTGGACGGAATTGGGGGAGCTTTGCTCCAGGTCCTGACATCTGTGAGTTGCACTTCCACCTCAGTGGGGCATGATCCCTCTGAAGGGGCTCTTGTCCCCATGTTTTGTGTTCCTTTGAAGGCCTGTGCCCCAGTGGGGATTGGGGAAACTCTGGTCGTGGGAAAGGAAGAGGGAGCAGGGGTATTGGTGGTGGTGGTTGGGGCCAGGGCAAGTCCTCTTTCTCCACCTTTGCATCTGTTGTCAGCTGGTCTCTCTCAGTGCCTACCTGCTGCCCCTTTCCTCCCCTGCACAGGCACAGACCAGACTCTGGAGGTTGGTTCTCTGCCCCACCTCCCCCATTTATCCCAGGTGCCAGACTGTCTAGTTATGGGTCTACCAGCTACCTGCAGCCTCGAGGCCATATATGTCCCTCTAGGTCCTTAAGTGTGGCCCTTTGACTGAATCCACACTTCACAGAACAAATCTTTTTATTAAGGGACCTTGAATTTCTAGGCCATTTAATAAATGAGATAGCCATTCACCACCATCAACGTGTGATTGAGGGATGACAGTAGATACCAGAAAAGGGTCTAAAATGCCAACATAGAGGTCTTGAGGATTTTAAGGTTAAGGAAGGACAACTGGAGATTAGCAGCCCCAGGGCCAGGTTGCTCCTATACTTGTCCTTGTCCTGGAAATATGGATCACAAATCCACTGATGAGGACTGGGGAAGGGGGTTGGTCCCAGGATTGTCACTTATGTTCTGTTCAACCATCAGCTAATCACTTTCCATCTCTGTGGCTGGGCTTCATCAGCTGGAAAAAAGGGGTTGTCCTAGGTAACCCCTAAGGCCCCTTCCAGCTCTAAATATGAGCCATGCTGCCTAGGAGAAGCAGAACTCAGGTGGTGGGGTTCTGAAGAGTGTGGAGGCTTTGGAGAAAATCAGAGCCAGAGAAATGGTAGGCAAAGAGACACTGGGATACAGAGAATTAAAGACAAATTGATCTGGCCTGGAAGGTCTGGGGAAAAGTCTGTAAGAAGGGTCCAGGGGCTAGGAAAAGGCCCCAAACAACCCAGGATTCCTATGGGTCACATCCATGAGGAATGGGTCAGCAGGAAGGTATTAAGGTCACAGCTTCAGCTAAAATTCCCAAAGGATGGATGCACCTGGAATCCAAATGGGAAAGGGACTTAGTCCAGGAGCCAAAATAGGGGCTCACAAGAAGATCTGGAACCCTCAGGGATGTGGATTATGAGAAAGGGCTGGAGGGACAAGGGCTATCCCTTCTAGGGCAAAGACCATGATTCTTTGTCTAAAAGGGAAATGATGAAAAAGGTGGTAGCTAGCCAGGGGAAGCTTAGTGTTTTAAGCCTAAAAGCAACTGAGTAACATGGAAGAACATACTTCATGTTCTAAAATTACCTCATGTGGTATCAAATTGCCACATGAACCCACTGTGTGTATTGGACTGTGGTGGGCAGGATGGGAGAAAAGCAGAAACATTAATTAGAGTGGGCATTTATCTAGGACTTTTGGGTTTTCAAAGCCCCTCATTTCATTGGATTCTCACAATGACCTCCCAATGAATGTCCCTGTGAGGTAGGTGCTGTTATTATCCCCATTTTGCAGTTGAGGAACCTGAGGCAGGTAGAAATTAAGTGACCTGCCTCTGGTCACACACCTACTAAGTATTTGAGTTGGGAATTAAACACAAGTCTTCTTGACTTCCAAGTCCAGAGCTATTCACTAGGCTGTGTGTTTCTCATGGGGAATGTGAATGTCTAAAGAAGATGAAATGTTGCATAAAGGGGTTTCCTTTTCTTTTCATCCCTCTCTGTCATTCACTCCCTGTGGGGCAAGTTGCTATATCTCTCTGGGCCTCAGTTTCCTCAGCTGTAAAGTGGGTAGTTGGATATGATTTCTAATATCCCATTCCCATTCTGCATCTATGATTCTGTGAATCTATCCATTGAGCAACAGCTGAACCTGTGCTCCAGCAAGCAAAAGGAAAGGGGCACCTGGTGGGGGAGCTGCCCCTACTGCCCCAAGAATTGTAGCATAGAGTACAAAATAGCGATATCAGGTCACTGTCACTCTTGTGTGGGACAGAGAGCTCTTTAGGAAATGAACCCAATGACTCACAAAATAATCTCTATGAAGGAGCTAGGAATGCCTTGCATCTTCAGGATGGATAAATCTCTCCCTTTCCCCCTTACACACCCTCTAAATTACAGCCAAACTGACCTTGCTAACCTCTCTGTGAGACATTTCATCCCATCTCCCAGTCTTTGTAAATCTCTCTTCCCTGTCTGGAAAATATTCCCTCCTGACCCCTGACTCTTAGAAGCCTTGGCTTCCATCGAGCTCAGAGGCCTCCCACATAGGGCTTCAGTTTCTATCCCCTCATGTTACTTCGTAGGATTGAAGCCATATGCCAGGAATCAAAGAAAAAAGAAAAATCGTCCTTCCCCCCAAGGGTCTTGCATGCTAACAGGGGTAGAAAACATGTATACATACAAAAAAACAGTTTTTGTCTTTGTACCCCCAGCACCTACACTAGTGCCTGGCCCACAGCAGTTGCTTAAGAAATGCTTGGGGAATGAATTGATTTCTTTTTTTCTTTCAGAGAAAGTGCTTCAGAATAATATTCACCTGGAACCATTATTGTTCACTGAGACCTGAAGTATATTTTACCAGGTGCTTTCCTCGCTGGTAATGAATGTGCTTATTCCTCCAGCTCCACTTGCTACAGGTGAGTTCCAGGTTTTCTGATTGATTGAGGCTTGACAATTAACTAGTGAGTAGCAAAAGCAGCAGCCATGTAATCCTCGGGGGAAATAACACCCACACCCACACATACACTTCCATAGGCTAATGAATATGACTAGCTATCAGAGGGCCTCATAAGAGCTCATCCATGTTTCAGGCTGTTTTTCCTCCTTTATAAAAATGGTCTCCACCAAAATGTCCGTGGTCCCCTCTTTGCTGGTTTTCTTCCTGATTACCTTGATGACTTATGGCAAGGAAGAACCTACCTGTAGACTGCTGGGAAAGTTTGATTTACATGGGTATGTGGAATCCACAAACCACTCACTAATTATAGGAGGAATGTCTCCTATTCACTCCCGGACCATTCCAGAAAATGAGTCTGTTTTGGAGCCGGTATCAGCCATATGTGAAGGGTAAGTCCTGGTCAATTTGGGGGAAAGGAGGAGGAGTGTGGTGGAATAGAAATTCAGGAGAATTGGGTTCCACCCCTGACTTTGCCACTGTTGGGGGATGCTTGGAAAATACATTGAACCACTCTGGGACCGTCTCACTTTCTGATTAGACTTTTATCTTTCAGAATCCTTCCATTCCAGGGTTCTAAGATCATTTTGAAAACCAAAAAGTCCAGTTAAGTACTTGAATGTTACAATGATACTTTTCAGAGAGAAAATGTTCGGATCTGCCTACCATGGATGTCATTCAGAAATCTGGTTCATTTTTTGGCCAAACTTTTCCAGTCAGGCTCACAGAAACTGTTTATGGGGGCTCTGTTCTATTTTAGAGCTCATATTAATGATCCCCGAAGAATTCCACCAATTATTAGAAATGCTGGTCACCTCTAGAGCTGAGCTGTAGGATTGAAGATTTGCAATTTTGTGTCCCTTCTGTCATAAGAAAGCAAAACATGGGACAGAATTCCATAGCATGTCAAGTTCACAAATCTTTCCCTCTGGAATTCAACATGAATTTCATGCTTTACAAAACTGTTCTTTCCTTCTATGGCATTTTTGTAATACATTTGAAATGTTTTAAATGGGATAAATAAGATGGCATTTTTACTTTGCAAATCAAGAGGTAACTCTAGACATAACTCATCTTGCTTATTTCCTTTCTGAGCTATATTTTTTTTCCTCCCACTTCCTATATTAAGGAAAGGGGAAAGAGATGAGAAATAAAAGGTCGCAGAAGGTTTGTTTAACACAATGGTTTTCAAAGTTGTGTTGAGACCCCTGGGGGTCCCTGAAACACTTTCAGAGAGTCTTCAAAATAAAACTTTTTTTTTTAAAAGCAAGATGTTTTAATTTCTAATATGGTAAATTTTGATGGATATAATCCACATAAACAAAAGCTCCTTGGAGGGGTTCTACATATAAAAGGACCCTGAGACTACAAAGTTTGGGTACCACCAATCGAATGCGCCCAGAGTTTGGTCACCACTTCTTACCATAGTGTAAGTTTTCACTTCTTCAGAGCCTCAAACCAATCTGAACCAAAGACTGAAATCTCATTGTTAGAATATAGTTCAGGCAAATGAGTGGGATCACTGCACTGTTCCCTCTAAGGGAAAAAATCCTAACATGCTTTCTGAGCCATAAAATGTGGACAAATGTGGAATGCTATTCATGAGTACATTTATACAGCAATCATTTTTTGTCTTCAATGACTATAAGACTGTGACTATCGGGATAGCAAAGCTTTGACCTAAGCCAGTGGTTCTCAGACTTTAATGCTGCCTTGTTTCCGTTCCTTACTCTACTTCCTAGTCCTCTCATAATTCCCTTATATTGACATCTAATCCAACCAATACAAAAACACATAAATAGAGTGATGAAGAAATTAATCTCTCCCCACCCCCAATTTGCTCATTGTCAAAAAAAAAAAGGGCAAGAAAACCCAAAGTAGTAGAATGCCTATACTATCGAGAAAGGGGAGAGTCAATGAGATGTGCGCGCACACACACACACACACACACACACACACACACACACACACACAGAGACATATTTTCAGGAGAAGGCCAATTTTCCCTCCATTTTTAAAAGTTGAGAGTGGATCAAGGCACAAAAAGGCAGTAGAGTTATTTGTATTTGTGACATAGCTCCTGACTAGACAATGGACTCCAGAAGAGAGGTGCTTGGGTTTATTGAAGCTTGTATTTCCCTTAGAGTCTACCATGGTTATGCTGACATCCTGATTTCTCTTATCTCATCTTAGGTTCCTAGAAGTAATACCCCCCTCACTGTCTGTTGGGGCTTCTCCAGTGGGAACCTGACATAGATTTCCCAGGGCTATATCCCGAGGGAAGGTTGAATCCCCACCAAATCTGTTGGCACTAGGCAGGGAGATGGAAGGGTAATCAAAAGATTCTTTTCTCACTTTCCCATACTTGGGGCCAGTGGCCTTCAAAGTAAGGGAGTGTACAGATGTGGCATGATTAAAGGTATGTAGGGAGGGCCCCCACATTGACCTCCCAGGAAGAGAATAATGAATCTGGTCTCCCCATCATCTTGCCTCATAAAACTTGTTCTAGGATTACAGAAAATGGGAGGGGGTAAGTGATTAAAGAACCCAAGGGAAGCTGTTCTGGGGACACTGAAGATTTGAAGGGGTATTTTTGTTCATGTGAGGCTAACCGAAGCAAAGTTTAAGGAGTACATTGAAGGGGCCCAGCAGGGAATGAAGGATGAAAGGGTTAGTAATAGGATAAGAGGTCATCATTCTGGTGGCAATCAATAAAAAAAAGCATTTGTTATGTACTTACTATGTGCTGAGCAATGCCAAGAGCCAGGCGTATACTAAGTGCTTGTTGAATGAATTAATTAGATTATCCAGGGATATGAATATTTGTACTATCTACATTTATAGGATTGTGGTAAAGGTCATTCATTTATTATCTATTTATTTGCTTATTTATCTATTCATCCACTCATTTATTTTTTCATTTGTTCACTCAAGAAAGGTTTATTAAGCTCCTACAGTGTACAGAGACATCTAACTATCTGAGTTATTATGTTTAGTTATGATCTGTAATCAAATGGAATAATACAAATGAGCTCCTTGAAAGCAGGGAGTTTGTTTTTGTTTTTTGCCTTCCTTTGTATCCCTAACCCTTAGCACAATGCCTGATACATAGTTATTGCTTAATAAATGCTTGTGATTGCTTTTGACCACAAATATAAAGTGACTTTATAAATACAAAGTGTTACATCAATGTGAGTAATTGTCATGGTTATTATTAGCAACATTTTTACCATTAAGACCATCTTCCTGCCTCCCTTACTAAAGTGTCAGAAATTATGCAGCTTTGTTCCTGCTGCTGCTCTCCAGGGGATCCTGAAAAAAATAGTGATTGGCTGGAAAGGGACAAAGTAGAAAATGATTCTGATGCATCTCCAACGGTATGCCAAGATTCAATCTACTTTCTAGCTTTTTAATAGGATTTGCTCCAAAAACAGAGGGCTACTTTAGAAAATAGTGCACCTATGTCTTTGACTGCAGACATGACTGTACTCTTGATATTTTCTCCAATGCATCAGAATTCCGTTTTATTAAGGTTCATTTGAGTGGAAGTAGGTCTATTCATACAGTGTGTCATCTTACACTCTGGATAGACCCTAAGTCTGTCACTGCTGATGGACCACACTGGTATCAGTCAGTGTATGTCCTCCTTAGACTCAGTTTACATGCCAGGTGGTGTTAAAAACACAGCGGCTCTCCTGTTGTGCTTTCCTCCTTTCCAGCTCTCCTTTTGCTTCTTACCCTCAAAGAATGGACCCCTTCATGTTGGACAGGCTGTTCGATGGATGATGGACCCTGAACAAGATGTGGCACTAACCTTTTCTGGCTGAGCATCACTGTTAATGTTTCAATGTCTTACTAACAGAAAGTGGGCGTGACTTGCTCTAGAGGATCCAGAGAACAACCAAAGCAATTTAAATGCAAATGCAACTGCCCACCCATGTGAACTTGACCATGACGGATTTTATAGCTCCTTGTGGTCACTTTCACTTGTTAACTTAGCCCCTTGAGAAAAGGCTGTTTTCAAGCCTACCACATCTGAGTCAGGTTATGGGAAGAAGGGTTTTCCTTACTTGCCTTGTGCAGAGAGCCAGGGGGGCAACCAGGTATTTCAGGGCTCAAGAAGGAACTGGTAGTACTGAAGAGAAGTAAGTCACCATCCCTGATGTAGGCCTGTTTGGTAGGAAAAGAGTCATCAGAGGAAATGCTCAACTCAAAGTGCTATTCATTTTGCCACCATGGGTGGCTGGCCTGTCAGACATGGCTTCCTGCAGCCTATGATACCATCTCAATCATGGAGGGAGGGATATGTGTTTGAAGAGCATGTTTTTCATTGGAATGATTCATTCAGATCACTTTAATAAACATGCATTTAGCACTTACCTGGGCACTGTGTTGGGCTGGGGATCAATGTCTACCCTCAATGAGCTTATAATCAGTAAATTGGGGTTGGGTGGGAAGATAAGTAAACAGTAAAGTACATACATGATGATTTTTGGAAGGGTGATTATTTGCAGCTGGAAGGATCAGGAAAGGTCCCTTGTTGAAGGTGCCAGTTGAGTTGATCCTTGAAATAAGCTAAGCACCTCAAGAGTCAGAGATGAGGAAAGAATGTGTGCCAGATATGGAGTGGAAAGTCACAGAGGTGGGAAATATAAGGGGCATAACAAGAAGGTCACTTCGGTTGGAATGTAGAATGTGGCTGGAGGTATAATGTGAAATCAGTTTAGACAGATAAACTGGAACCTGATTTTGATTTTCTTTAAGTCTCAAACAGAAGAGGCTGTATTTTATCCTTCTGACAGTTGAGACCAAAATGGTGTGTGAAGATGGCATCTAGCCCTAGACAAATGTAGAATATTAATCAGATCCAGTGGATTTTAGCATGACTTACATCTTTAGATGGACTTCAGAGTGCTTTTAAAGTTTCCAGTCCATCTGAAATCCTCCTAGGTTTCTCCAGAGCTGCCCCTTTCAACATTTCTTACTGTATAATAGTATTCCATTACATCCAGATAACGTAATTTGGCCATATCCCAATTGATAGACTTCCCCTTAGTTTCCAGTTCTTTGGCATTTCAAAAAGAGCTGCTATAAAATTTTTTGTTCACATGAATCCTTTTTCTCTTTCTTTGATGTCTTGGGGAGTATAGGCCTAATAGTGGTATCAAAGAGTATGTAAAGTTTAGTAACTCTTGAGGCATAATTCCAAATTCTTTTCCAGAATAATTGAACCAATTCACAGCTCCATAAACAATTCATTAGTTCACCTATTCTCTCACTGATGGGGAACAGGACATGGGCCCCTAAAAGAAAAAGACCATGTCTTTACCCCTGAACTTTCCTACGCATTTCTACCCAGATACTCAATATCCTTTTAATTGTCCTTTTATTG